TGTGTCACTCTTTAGGGAAGAGATTAAAAATAAGACACTAAAGGAAAAGAAAACAAAGCACACATACAATGGAGAAGCATTGACTCAGACAACACTTTTGTTCCTGCACTAAATCCAATCACGAGTATCTGTTCCCTATTGTTACATATTTTTATTGTAGTATCTAAGAGCCCTCTCCTTAAGGATCAGAACCCTGGGAAAGTTGCTCAGCTGTATTTAGACAATGCTGCCTTGCTGCTCTGAAAGCGGATTGTAGATCAGAAAAAAATGCGTCTGAAATGAAATTTCACGATGAAATGTTATTGTTTGCGATCCAGGTTTGAGAGTGGTCTAATGGCGATGCTTCGAAAGACAATGAATTCTACATTACGCAACTCTTTGCGAAGACCAAAAACTTGTGAAATTGAATATCTTTGCCTCCCAAAACGTATGGGACTTGGTTTGGAGCCTCGCTAGTCTGCAAAACATATCAGATAGGTTTTTATAGGCCGAACTCTGAGCTACACAAAACCCGATTCCTTTTGTGCCATTACAGCTAAACTCATTTGGGAACAGTGGTATTTCCTATAGGCGCACATTTCAGTTGGATTGAATAATTTCTTGTGATCGACTGATTTTCTCTGAGCGAGCGCCATGAATTCGACTCCCTCGCTGAGGTGGTTGAAAGGTGTGATTTCACATCACGCTTACCTCATGGAGGCAGATGCGAGCTGTGATGTGATGTGGTTCGAAAAGGTTCATAAGTTCCTCATCTCTCTTCTGCTTGTAATTTAGTGCTGACCTACTCCTGCGTAACCCTCTGATAGGTTTCACCCAACGACGGCGCACCCTTTTATAGCCCCTTTTCCAGTTGTTGTACGGTAAAATCGTCCTGCAGGTGTGACGAGCACGAGATTTACGGCCGTAGAGATGACTCTAACAAAATCAGAACCTCCTACCTAGATCAAAGTAATGTTAGTTGCTGTACTCAGGGTCTGGGTACTTTCCTAACGTCTTCTTTATATGCTGACGTACCTCCGTTAGCTTCGTCATTTTCCTTTATACCGGTGTGAACATTGCCGATTCTATGGTTTCCCAGTTGCCATTCCACTAAGCTGAAAAGATGCTTATTACGGAAGATTCTCAGTTTGATTTACGCAGTTACACCTCATAGTTTCGTTTTGATAATTGCGGTATCCACAGGTGTCGTTTGTGAAATTGCACGAAAGCAAGTGACATGCCGTTGTATGCTGCACGAATCCATCAACTCGATTCGAGTGATCGTCTTCTGAAACACGCAATAGGCAATATTTTCCCATGGAAGGCTGTCAGCCGAAAGAAATCCGTTGAGAGGTTTTTGAACACATCAGGTGCCTAGGTTTGTGAAGCACAGTCAGGATGCCTATCACAGCCTAGTTATTAACGAACCAAGTGAGCGGTATTTCAGCGAAGGCAATTGTTAAAAGTATATAAAGGGATCAAGTCGGTGGTATTCGAGCAGTTCTGTAGAGCGTGGGGTTAGTATGTGCAGAGATCGGTAATGAACAGCACAATGTCGCCGTTCACGGAGAGTAGTGCTGCCACACAACCCGAATTTGTGAGGAAGCCTTATTGGGTTGGCTCAATGTAATACCGTTTTTTTCTGACACAGATTTTTATATGGAAAATGGCAATCGTTCCCAATATGTTCTACACTGTTTGATAGATAACTTTTTGCTTAAGACACAATAATTGCCTTCTCATTATTTCTCGATATTTGTAGATTTTTATCTTATTGAAATGGTGTCAAGTCAACACAAAAGTGAGTTTTTGACAACAAGTTTTTGCACATTATCTCGGCTCTCAGACTACTGAGGAAGTTTGAAACTTGTGGTTCATATGATCAAGGAAAGGGGCTCTTCATGACAGCTTGAAGTTGGTTCAAGCGATCAAGAGGTGGGAGTTAGGGTCATGTAAATGTACATTGCATGGGGCCTTCTTGAGGAGCGACTGCCTGCAGAACCAACCCACTGATTTTGGAACGTCTAACATCAACTGAGGGCGACGCTTGATAATGATAAGGAAGCGTTTGATGAACTCTAACAGGTCCTCAATCCTTAGCATGAATCTCCGCGAATGATGTTGATTCAGTAAGCTCTTAATTGGATTCAATAGAGCATTAGATTAGATGGTTATCTGTGAGGTTTAAATGGGTATCTTCAAATAATTTAAAGTTCTGCTAAGCACTCGTAACCTCTTGGCCATATACCTAGCAACTGAGCCTGTGCGGTTTAAGCTTTTATTTTGAAAAGAGAGGCTGTCGAAAATGCTCAGTTTCATGGACTTGACACTCCGAGCAGAGCGATAAATATTAGTGGAAAAGGAAAGCTCAGAAACTAGGCATTGGAATTCTCTTGAGAATGGTAGAAAAATCATTGGCAAAACTTTCCATCCTTAGCGCGATATTTCAGTGAGAAAAAAGCCATTGCTTATGGGCCGACCCAATACTTATTTTTTGGTCCGTCGCTCATCTAATCAGAGCGATTCATCTGAAGCATGGCTGTCTGGAGGCTCATCCCCAGCGGTAGCAATGCAATTCTGTAAAAAAACAATGCAGTTCTACCATTATCATGAACTGATTCCTCGCTTGGATTCCGTACGGAGCGCGTCGGTGCTTCGGTTTTCTTCACGAGGTGAGTCGGCGCCTTCCTCGAAGAATTCATCAATCACTTCGGCATGTTCGGCTTCAATTTTTTGATCGCGTGCCTGCAATAACAAATCTCAAAATTCCTTAATTTTCTGCCACTTGAATGACATCGGAACATAATTGATTTGTTCAAACTATTTTACTGGATATTTTCTTGAGAGGCAGCACTGCTAGACATAAACCCGAGGAAGGAAACCCTGGTTACTTCATCAGTAAATTACTTCATCGGTTGCAGAATCTTCACATAGGTCAGCCTTGTACTCGATGTTGTCAAGAATGAATAGTGTTGGCTTGGACTGATGTTGGAGATGGCGATCTCAACGTCGAACACTGCCGCTTGTGGATGGACCACTTCCACTGCCACTAACGATGTCTCCGTGTAGACTATGGACTAAAAAGGTTCACATTCAGCGCAGAAAAGAAAGTGGTGTAGACTTTCATGCTAAGTTCACCTTAGTGCAGGATCTGGCTTGGCTGTCTTGGGTGCAGACTTTGACGATGGCGGATCGGTCCCCAATCAGCCAGTAACTGCAAGGAAATTCTCATATTCTCCAAAAAAAAACTGAGAGAGCAATCGGACTAATGGAAATTGACTCGGTTGGTAAAAAAAATGACGGGAGCGCTGAGTACTCAGAAACTTTTTAGGCTTGAGATCAGGGGCAGGAACTACGTAGTTGAGAAGTGCTTACCTGAACTTGAGTATTCCTGCTCCACGTTGACATGTGATAGGGGCAGCAATGACGAGCTCCTCATCTTTCACAATTGGCTGCATAACGCTTCATTATGACGGGGGAGATCTTTTCTAAGAGGAAATCTAGCTGAAGTTTTTATTACCTGTTGAGTAAGCATGTAGACAAAACTTCGTTGTGGTTGTTGTGTGACTGGTCGACCAGAAAGCTCCGCCAGCGTGGCGTAATGTGAGGGCAAAGGCAGCTTGCCGATTTGAAATAGAGAAGATGTTGGTTGAAACCTTAATGTAGAGTGATTCGTCCAGGACTGAACACAAAACAGCTGAATAGAAGTAGGGCACACATCTGGCTGATGCTTTTACCTGTTGTAGGCTTTGCATTACTGCTATTTGGTGCCAGAGGTATCATTCTCAATTTCCGATACCCCAGTCATAGTTCATGGAGTGTAAGGCAAATCTTCGCCTTGAGCATCGCCTATGTTTCTTCTTGCTTTTGTTTGGGAAGTTTTTAAGCGTTCCTGTACACCCATGTGAATGATCTATTGGGTCATTTCAGTCCATCCTGACTTCCGAAAACACCTTCGTTGTTTTCAAAATATTATTTTTCTGTTTATGTTGCTATGCCACTCGAGGTTTTGAGGTGGAAATCTTTATTTTACGGCCTAACGTTTCGACGTGGTCGTCTTCTTCAGAGG